TGAGTCCAACTCAGGACTTTAGCACCACTACTACAGCTCTGCCATTGATGATGAATACGCGTCAATGTCCCTGCTGATCTACATACCTCATCTACATCAATAATGGGTGATATCTGATGTTGTCTGACCTTTTGGCCTTCAGTTGCTGCTAATGTTTATCTGATTTCTATTTAGAATTGACTTACTTGGTCAGACGTATACCGAAGAACAAGATATCAATGGAAGCCTCTGTCAGAGCACTCCTGAGTTGTTTGCTTTAATGTGAATGGATGCGCTCCTCTCCCTTCTTTGAACCTAGAAGATAGCGTGCAATAATTTCTATTATGGCTTCCGCTACCTCACCTGGTTCACCTTAGGTGGCTAGAATAGAACAGAATTTATTCATCTATCGTCATCAACAAGACCTGCCCTCGAAATGTCAGCCTTGGAACAATGCGCGAACATTAATTCTACTAAGGTCGCCGCATTATCGTGGTGATGCATCATTTATTGAAACAGACTACATGGCCTTTTAGACAACACAATCCAGAGCGCCCTGCTGTTCTAGTGCCACCTAGGCAAATGTAACGTTAATCGGGCATAATGATGTAACCTCCGTTATTACTGAACATTGGAACTTTGGTGATTTTCTAACCGGTCATGTTCATACGTACATTCCTGTTCCATACTTATCACCAGCCAGGTGGATTTTGCTATCACAAGCAAAATGTATCGCTAGTCTACCATAGATGTACCTAATTTCTTTGTCGTTAATAAAAAATAGTACTTCAGCTGTTTAGTATCCTGTCATGTGCATATTATTGACCTGTTCGATGGCCATTCCAAACCATATGGAATTTGCTATCACAGGCAAAATGTAACGCTAACCTCGCATAAGGTGCCTATTCTTTATCTGGCGATAAGAAAAATATATACATTGGCACTTTTCTAACCTGACATGTTCATAATTACACACCTGTTCCATGGTTATCACAAACCACGTCGAATTTACTATCACAAGCAAAATGTACGCTAGTCTCGCATAGATGAACCTAATCTCTGTCGTTCAATGAAAAATAGTACTTCGGCCTCTTCCTAACGTCTCATGTGTATCCTTACAATATTGTTCCACAGTTATCACAAACCAGTTGGAATTTGATATCCCAAGCAAAATGTATCGCTAGTCTCAGATGTACCCAATGTTTATCTGTTGCTATCACAAATCAGATGGAACCTGCCATCCCTAGCAACTGTACCGCTAGTCTCACATAGATGTACCCAATTTTATCTGTTATGAATGAAAAATGCTATATTGCTACATTGCTATCACAAACAAGATGGAATTTGCTATCTCAAACAAAATGTAATGCTAGTCTCGCATAGATGAACCTGATCTCTATTCGTTATTAATGAAAAATGGTACTTCGACGGTTTCCTAAACTGTCTGGTGCAATCTTACTATGCTGTTCCAAGGTTATCATAAACCAGATGGAATTTGCCATCACAAGCAAAATGTAACTCTAACCTCGCATAAGATACCTAATCTCTATCTGGTAATGAAAAAATATATCTTTACGACTTCCTAACCTGTCATGTTCAAACTTACAGTCCTGTTCCATGGTTATCACAAACCAGATGAAATTTGCTATCACAGGCAATTGAGAAGAGATTGTTGACCATACCTTGTTGCTACGTTGCCCCATATGCTTTCAGTGTTGTTATTTGTGCAACGGAGTTCAGTATTGAGTCCTTATCCCAAACATCTTTATTCTATCATTAGCTGGGTCCATGTTGCTATCCCAAGCAACCGAGTCCAATGTTACAACGTTATCCCAAATGGCTTCGTTCATCCTTGGTGTGGAGCTGACTATCCCAAGCCAAGTCCACGTTGCTATTTCAAGCAGCCGAGTCTAATGTTTCCACGTTATCCCAAACGTCTTGTTCGTCTTTGGTGTGAAGCTGACTATCCCAAGCCGGGTCCACGTTGCTATCCCAAGCAACCGAGTCTAGTGTTTCAGCGTTATCCCAAACGTCTTTGTTCGTCCTTGGAAAGGAGTTGGCTATCACAAGCTAGGTCCATGTTGCTATCCCAAGCAACAGTGTCAGAACATTATCCCAAACGTCATGTTAGACAAAGTCTAATACATACATACTAATATTCATTTAACTTGCTCCAAAAAAAGATCGGTTAGTCGACAGTTACCTGATGGTGACGCCCCTTCAGAAAAATAGGCCTGCACGCCACTTTCTAATTTTGCTCCTCGACGAAAGAACCTTGAGGCGACCGTCGGTCGGTATCGCGTTCGACAATGCACATCTATGGGCCAACCTTCTGTCATGTTCTCTAATTCTAAATGTTCAGCGGTTCCTTGACACTGCTGGAAAGGTAGGAAAGATGCGCGCCGATTGATGTCAACGGTTTGGCACGAGAACGGGGAATGAATGTTTATAGGCAGCCAGAGGGGTGGAAGGTAGGGGGAACGGGCGCGGTGCTGCTTTCTTTCGTTGCGTGCGCGCTTTGAAATCGTGGGGTTTGGTATAACTAACGAGAGTTCTCCGATATGTATTCAAAATATTTACTTTGACGAGGACGGAACATAATCACACATTGCCATGATGCGCGATATAAATCACGAGCAAAAACTACCCCTAAGCTTCATAAAACCATAATGAAGCGATCTTTTCTCTACTTGGCTACAAAATTATATGAACGCGTATCCAAAGACAAAACAATTTCGACATACACATAATTTTAAAAAGAAATTATCAAAATGAATACGCGCAATAGGAAGACAACACATTATTGAATTCCTATCAAATATTCCTTGAAAATTATCATCCTCTACATATACACACCGCTTTGAACCACTTTTGAATGTGGAAAATACTTAGATAAATCCACCTACCAAATTTTAGTTCATTCCAGTTGACGGTTTTGAAGATATTAAAAAAATGTTTTTTAGATATTTTTAAGCGTCAATCTTTTTAATAAAGCCCTGGAGGAAAAAATCTTACATGGACGACCCCCGGTAAAATGCGGTCCTGTGTATGATGTTTCATTTTTGGCCACGACTTGTGAATCACCCTTTATGTATATTTTATCAGGACACTATTTGTCAATTTGCTATATGTGATTTAATGAGGGATTTGCATATTATGTCTAATAAAAATGAGTCTACTCGCAAGACATACTTTCAATTTTTATTTTGTTGTGTTATACATGTCTTATAGTTGAGTAATATTCTCATATAGATTTGTATTGAGGAAAGCAGATTATTTGGTTTAATACTCGTACTAACTTTATCGAGTCATGTTGTCCCCTGATCTTCACTTGTCACTTACTTACTGCTTACACTACTACTACTTTCCGCAGGTGCCAGATACATGTTTTCTACCAGTGTGTAATAAGAAAAACAACAATATATTGTAATCAAATTCAATCAGCGTTCAGAATATAACTTATATTGACAATGACATATTGTAAACAATGATTAAATTTAACATCCGGCGACATTATTACTTTTGGGCATGCCGCGCAGAAATGTAACTTTGCTGCACAGCGTATGTCAAAGTGACACTCCAAATTGTAGTGGGCGCGGAATACTTGCACTTTTAGCACGCTGGCAGAGAAGTGTATTTTCACGTAAATTTTGTTTTAATTATGAAAATTTAATCAAATCACTGTGGGCAGAACTGGCGATTGCGGTAAGGAATCTACCAATTTAGAACCTGCTTGTGTAGCACCAATATTGATCTCAAGATATTCAACCTAAGATACTGCTTTCCCACGTCCAAAAAAGTTATCCGAGATTGAAAGAGATACCATTTCGTCAATTATGAGAATTTGTCACAGGAGCATATAATTGCCATATGAGACTACGAGACACTAACCTTTTTAAAATAGATTTCTCATTATTGCGGAGAGAAGAAACATAGTTGAGACAAATTCTCACAGTTGACGCCATGGTATCTCCTTTTATCCCTGATAATATTTTGGAAGTATAGTATTAGTTTGGCTATCTTCAGTGGTAATAACGCCTTCTTATAACCAGAACTCTTCGACAGGTGGCCAGCAGTGGAGACGACGCTTAGACAACCACAATTACGCGACCATATATGGAGCGTGATCGCGTTTCAGAACCCTTCGTGACGCCACTGCTATATTTCGACGTGCCTGGATATGAATGTGCTACCATCTAGAGTACTTCCATGGTTGTTCGTGACTCAGCCTGGAAAACGCTGTAAAATTTCTTGACTCATCGATCGGGGAATAAATTCCCGACCAGATGGCAGAAGCAGGGAGATACAATCGAACCAGTGGACAGTGAAAGCAGAACTAAGATACAATAGTAGTGCAGTCGACATAGTTATAAATTTGTCATATAAATTCAAATTAGTTGCAAGAGTTATAAATTAGCGTAGCAGTAATTAATTGAACTCTGAACAGTAAAATGGTGTTTTCATTACGATACATTACTTAATGGTAGGATAGACATAGCAATGCAGGAGGTACGGCTGAGAGTATTATCCTGGTAAAGCAATATGCCACTTGTTAACTTCCCTCATCTATTCTCTTTGGAAACATCTCACATTTTTTAAATTAAGTTTTGATAATAGGACCTTAAAACTCTACACGTCGATTTTGTAACACCATATCAAACATCTTTTTAATGTTACTAAACCCCAACACCAGCCTATCCATACCTATATCCTTTGCAGACATTTTATTACGGTTCTCTGCTCAATGGAATCCAATTTTATTAAAATACCTGTTACACATGGACTAAAAATCACATAACTTCAAAACAGTTGTTTCACTTCCAACAATATCTACCTAATAAGCATCGCAATGGGGTCAGCGCCAGAGCATAGGGAACCACTGTTTTAACAAACGTATCTGGTACAGAAGACTGTGGAATTTCATCTTCTATGCAAATAAATATAGCTATCACTTTAACAATAACGGTAAATTAGAATAGGTTTCTACTATATTAAACAAAGTATTAAGTAAGAATCCTCACCTTTCTGCTATGAAAGTATAGTCCTTGCAGCAATGCCTTCTTGTACAATCCACCCACTTTCCTTTCAAATTGCACTTATACTTTGTCGTTATGACATTACTCGAAGGACATACCAACGTTTCTGGGCTAAAAGAATTAAGATGTGTTTATATATTGCATAACAGCGTATAATTTTAATACAATCATTTTCATTAAACATCACAGAGTGTCCCAGAATAAGCTATCAATTTCTCAGAGGCATAGAACACACAAAAAGCATGCCAGAGATTCTTCTAAAAATATTCTGTGATGTTCCCTTCTAGAGATATGTTATAGCCCCTAAGGTATAACGATGAAAACCAGACTTTCTTAAATAAATTTTGAGCGGCCCAATAAGTCAAACAAAATTTTACCGCTTACTGAGCAGTTGAGTCCTCAAACATTTCGCTCATTTGTATCGCTAGGGGTGAAATGGAATGAAAAAGCAATAAAAATTTGAAATTTTTTGAAATTGCGCAATATTAGTACGTAATTTCTTTTTGTTTGTAGCTTCAACGAACATCCATGTTATTAATAAGCGATGCCCATATTGAGGATTAAGTACTCTAAAATCTCAATTTTTGGTGGTAGTAGATTCATAAACTTTTAACCCTAGTAATTCTACGGCACATTTGACACACTTGAGATTTAAAATAATACGAATATTTTTATTAGTGTAAAGTGCCGTTATCAACTGCCTGGCGACATGCATATGACGAGTTTGTTACTCCAATGGCTAAGAAGAGGTTGTCAACAATGCCCCGGCGATGTAACAATTGCGACTACCAGGCCTATATATACTAAGTGACATATAAATCCGAACACCCAGCTTAAATGGTTTTATTTTAATAAATTTTTGTATAAGTACTTAATGAAGCATAATAAGTAAATGATAAAAATTTCTAAATGATTGCACTGCTTCAAAGCCCTTTGACCTTTAATAATGTGTGGATGCACCTTGATGTGCTACGCATTCTCCAACGCGCCTAGGCATGCTTCTGATCAGGTGGTCAATGTCCTCCTGTGGTATCTCATTCCAGGCAACCACCAACTCCTCTCGAAGTGCTTCTAGAGTCTGAGGAGGACGTTGCAAATTGAGCAATCTCCTACCCATCATATCCCACACGTGCTCAATTGGGGATAAGTCGGGAGATCTTGGTGGCCATGGTAACAATGTGACATCATTATGTTGAAAGAAGTCTATTGTGACTCTTGCAACATGTGGTCGGGCATTATCTTGTTGGAAAGTTGGATCTGCCAGGGTGTCAAGATAGGGTAAAAGATGGGGTTCTAGAACTTCGTGGATATAACGCTGCGCGTTCATGTTACCTCTGATGAAGATTAAAGGTGACCTGGAACCATAAGCTATAGCACCCCAAACCATAACTCCAACAGTGTGATGAACATGTCTTTCAACAAAAAACTGTGGATTCCTCCTTTCACCACGTCGCCTTCTAACCCTGGCACGACCATCGTGCATGCCTAAACAAAATCGAGACTCGTCACTAAAGACAATACTGTTCCATTCCTGATCCCAGAGTGACCGTTGTCTGCACCACTCAAGGCGATTACGTCGGTGTTCTCGAGTTAAAGGGAGGTCCCAGTGTGGCCGGTATGAAAACAAGCCAAAACTTCTCATTCGTCGGTAAACACTTCGCATGCCAATAGGTCTTCCGTGTTCTGCAAACCATTCATTTGCAATGGACCTGGTGGTCTCTTAAGGCCAATAATCTTAGGCGGCGATCTTCACGGTCTGTTGTTCTACGGCGGCGTCCAGTGCTCCTTGCTCTTTGCGTACGGCCTTCTCGAAGACATGCCTGACAACACCTAACCACAGTGTCTACACTTCTTTGCACTCTAACTGCAATTGCCCGAAAAGAAAGTCCACCTTCCCGAAGTCCCACTATACGGCCCCAATCAAACTCACTAAGTTGACGAAATCGTACAGGTCTCCGTATTCTAGGCATCGTAACCGATAGTAAAGGATGTCAAGAACCAAAATCCGCCAACGCTGATTCTTTACTGCGGCTGAAATATTCATTTTTAGAGCCTTAGTGAATTAAAAAAAAGCACTTGTTATTTACAGTAAGATAAATACATTCACCAACTTTTATTAAAATAAAACCATTTAAACTGGGTGTTCGGATTTATATGTCACTTAGTATAGTTTATTGAATATAGGTATTCTGGTGTGAATTAACGAATAAGCGTCCACCAGTCTTCTGTGAATATGAATGTTTTTCAAGAAATGAAGTATAAGAAAGTAAATAATACTGACACAGCACTTCAATCATATTCACTATATTACATAACCATCTGTAAGGATTTCCATAGCCCGTAAACAGACCAGAGCGTAAGAATCACCACCACCACCACATACCACGACCCCGGTCACATAGTTATGGTTATATTTCGCCTTCTGGCCATTATACTACAATATGTAGGTTGGCTCTTGTTGGTGACTTCGTACACCGGTATCGGGATCTATGGGCAAGTAGATACTCTTGTAGTTGCATAACAAGAACAAGCAGAAATACGTATCGCTCGGGTTACCTATCCCATGTTCTGCTCGAATCCACTTTCCTTCTTTTTGCGGATTTTCGGATGTTGCCCATTATTCTATCTATTTGTTATGTATATACATATATTATATATATATATATATATATACAACGTGTGGTAAAAGTTGAGTCATTTATTCTAACTGCTTGTACTCGTCAAAAGGTCAAAAATCACACACATAAAAGTTGTATAATAAAAGAAACAGTAAAAGGTTAAAAAAATTAAAAAATAAAAATATTATTTTTTAATATGCTCGATCACTGCCTTTTTTGTTTACTACTCTTATCGTTGATCTAAATTTGGGATCAGATATTTATATATTTCTATAATTATGGACAAACACACGACGTCACAACATCCATGGCGAAGGCGAGATTCGAACTCGCGGCCCGGCCGGCCGGCTGATCAGTAGCACGACACTCTGATCAACGCGGCCAACCGAGGCCCCTATCAGTCTTTTAATAGTGCGTATACTTTCATTTGTCTGATTAATTTGTGAGAAAAAATGGCCCATGTTTACGAAAACTAGTGGACATAGTACTAACATTCGAAGAATGTCAAAAAAGTGCCGTCGCAGCATGCAAGACGTATGCGGAAACGTTTCCTTTAAGAAATCGTCCAGCCCCACGGATGTTTCTAAATTTAGTTATTAGACTTCCCGACACAGAATATTTAAAAGGACAACGAGGAGGTCACTCTGGAAGACCTGCTCAATCTGAAATGTTACAAATGGAGGAAGACATTTTATCAATGAGTACTAGAGCCATAGCAGCTCAAAATGAAGTTAGTCATAGTAAATTGTGGAAGACAATACGACAAGGGCAGTATTATCCTTATCATTATCAACGAGTACAAGAGTTACAACCTGAAGATCATCCTAGAAGAGTTGCACTTTGCCAGTGACTTTGAGAACAGTTCGGCAGAAGTGAAGATTTTCAATTGTATTCAGACGAGGCCACATTTAAACGAAATGGAATGCACAATTTCCACGACAGTCAGGTGTGGGCAGTAGAAAATCCGCATGCTGTAAAGTCATTTTCAACAGAGATTTTCATTAAATGTTTGGGCTGGCGTGGTAAATCGCATGCTTATTTGACCCTACTTTTTTCCATCTCGAGTGACCGGTGAAAGTTATTTAAATTTTCCTCGACACAATCTGTCACAATTATTAGAAGATCTAAATAATGAGTTTCTGAATAGATGGATAGGGCGCAATGGAACCATTTCTTGGCCTGCTCGCTCTCCGCATTTAACGCCTTGGGATTTTTTCTGTGGGGCTATTTGAAAGAGTTGGTGTATCATGATGGAGCAGTAAATACTCTGGAAGAACTTCAACAGTGCACTGAAAATGCTTGTGATTTAATTCGTGGACAGCAAGATTTTATTTTCGAAGCTTGTAAAGAGTCATGAATTCGCCGAGCTCCGAGATTTTGCGTTAATCGGACAAATGGGGACAATTTTGAACAGTTTTTGTAAAGCGGTATCCATTTAACTAGATGATTTTTTTTAAATAATATTTAATAATGTAAACTAACTTTCTGTGTATGCAACTTTTATGTAGGTGATGATGGAGCAGCGGACTGAAAATGCTTGTGATGTAATTTGTGGCCACCTTGATTTTATTTTTTGAGGCTTGTAAAGCGTCTTGGATTTGCCGAGGAGGATTTTGCGTTAATCGAGCAAATGGGGACAATTTTTAACAGTTTTTATAAAAACGGTATTCATTTAAATTGATAATGATTTTTTTAATAATTTTTAATAAGGTAATCTCTCTTATTATACAACTGTTATATAAGGTGATTTTTGAACGAGTTCTACAAGCTGTTAAAATAAGTGGCTCAACTCTGAAAGCACTTTGTATATCTGTATGTAGATAAATTGCTATTAAGACTTTACAAATAGATTTAAAAGTGTTTTATTTCGATATCTAATCGCAATGCTAGAAAAAATAAAAAAAATTATACAGTGCTTCTGGTCCCGTAGCTAGGATTCATTTATTTGACTCGCCATCCCAGTCGCGTCTTACTTTAAGCCCTAGTGGGTAAGCTCCATAATTATTGGACACGATACAATTATGGGACAGTGCGCCTACGATCCCTAAATATAAGGTTCAAAATCTTGGCACGTGGTCTATCTATCGACAGAGAGCTATATCAGTTTACTTACAAGGCATCAAAATTGGACCAGCGACATACGTATGTGCTTTGCTGGATAGTTTTGTATGAGTGGCAAGTGATGCACGTGCCTGCAGGTACATGTTCGTTAAGCTTCTGTTAAGGGTAGAGGACTAAAGTTTTTAAATACTGTGAGTTTATTTTTCGTCTGACCTTAAACTGAGAAATGTGAAAATTTCTAATATTGGACAGGTATCCAATGACTGTGTATGAACAATTTTATATAAAATCTATGCCATTCAACTAGAAGCGTTCAGGTTTCTTCGCTATACTTTCTACAAACGTTTCACAACTGTAAACAGTTATTGGATGGGTGTCCAATAATTATAGATAGAGTGTCCAATAACTGCATTTGCTTATTTCTAGTGACTA